CACACACACACACACACACACACACACACACATATATATATATGCACACACACACACACACATATGCACATACCATTCAATCTTTGTCAGACCAGTAAACCCAGGATGTAAACACCTGTTTGTGTGCGGTTGTGAGCATGCATGTACAGTATAAACAGGATCTCTCCAAAATAAAAAAGCCATGTATCATTTTTCTTCCACTTCACAGTTTTGCACAGCTCTGTGTTTCTTTCTAACATAAAACCGTACAGTGTAATTTGAATTTTGTGGCTGTAATGTGACAAAATGTGGAGCACTTCAAGAGGTATTAATACTTTTAAAGCAACGATAATTTCAGTCATGCATAAAGCACGAGCACTGGTGAGGTTTTAGTTCACTGTAGCGACAAACACTAAGTCCAGTCTGTAAGTTGCAGCTGCTGCGCCTGCATCTGAAGGAAACGGGACACTTCTTATAAGACAATGAGCAGAACTAGTTCGAGGAGGTGAAGGAATTTTTATTTGTTATATGCTGCATGTTTCAGCACCGGCTCAGAGCAGTGTTTAAAATGATCTTTGATAATCAGATAAATAATGCAACACACCAAACATCTACTGTCCTTCTGAACACCACAGTGCCATTTTAAAACACCACTAGGAGTCATTCTTTTCTGCTTCCTCTAATTAGTTTATTTCTGCTACTTTGGCCACATTTTTTTTCCGTCTTGGAATCTGTTTAGTTATTTTAAACTTCTGCTTTGGAGCAACTATAAACTTGGTCTGGCAGCTCAACATCCACTCCCTGTTCTGTTTTCTGGGCTGTGTGACCACCCATGTCTTTGTTGCATAATTTATTGGAGCTTGTCAGACTCTTATTTTCCAGCTGTTAATGAGTTTAAAGGTCTCATTTTACAGATTCATGACTGAGGGTCTCCGATTCGTGCTGACACAGCAGGTTGTTTTCTATAAAAAAAACAAACTCCTTCCTTATTTTCCTCTCTGACAGAAAAAAAAAAAAGACAGGAAACAGCTCATTTTGAGTGCAGTGGAAGTCAATGTGAGCGTATTTATGAATGCTTTGTGCTGGCACCATGCTGATGGAGTGTGGAAATTTCCTTCCTGGAGCTCATGAACCATCTGCTGTGAGGAGCCAGACCCTCAGCTGCTGCTTCTTCATTCAGTTTCATCCTCTACGTTTCATGTTTGTTTACATATCAGGTCCTCCATCACAATGACGGGTTTTCCTCACGAATCCAGACTCACAAACATCGAGATGCAGCGCAATGGAAGAAGGCCTCTGGAGAAAATAGCTTTGAGAATAATTGTAGCATATTAAAAAAAATAAGTAAATAAACATACACAAAGAAACATCTGTTTTTATGGTTTAAAAATGAAAACAGTCCTAATACTTTTGGTCCAGACCTACTTGTAAATAATTTTCTTAACTATTTTTTTTTTGAGTCTGAAACAAGTCTTTACAGTAACGACAGCTTCAACATCACAGATTAATGCATTAAAATAACTAGAGTTTCTCACACAGGAAGCATCTTTTTTTAATTTATTTATTTATTGCTCAGACAAAGGGTGACAGACAAACTGGCTCTCTGTTGGGGCTTGTTTACATCGGTTACCATGACGGGGGCGTGGTGCTGCAGGAGGGAGCGCAGCCCTGCAGCGAGCCAACGACTGCATGAAGGCTCAGCTCGGCCTCAGCTGCTCCCCCAGTGACGCTGCAGGGACAGGGCTGAGGCGTGTGGCCTCGGCAGAACATTTACCATTTCAAACTCAAACGTCAATGATGAGATTATCATTACTGTATTTTATTTATTTATTTTTTTATTAGGTCAACATCCTGAGACTTTTACTGCCTTCTGAGTTAGATAAGTTTTACAACTTTGGAGCTACTGAAGGAAAAAAAAGGGGGGGTAATTAAGTTTATGGAGCGTTATAAGTCATTTGAGTTCAGCTTTTTACATGTAGAGTGTGATAATTATAAATATGAAATATCTGTCTAAAACAAAACAAAACAAAACAATGATAAAATCTCAGTTTATTTTGATTCTAAAAATGTTCCAGTTTCTTTAACTTTATTGGGTGAAATAGTGCTGCCATGCAGAAAGACAGCCGATAAAGAAAAATAACAGGCCTTGAAAGTATGCACAACACCTGTCATGCCACAGATTGAAAGAAAGAATTTCTTTTGATGAGAAAGAACAGTTTTAACTTCTCTCTAGTTTTAAAACATCTTGATGGGGTTGACTCTACAATGAATGCAAATCTTTAGATAAAATCTCTGCATAGAGTAGTCTCAGCTACCACACTAAATTTAAGCTGCATTTCTGTAAAAATGAGCATTTTTGTTTTTCCCATAATTTGTTGGTTGTGGTGACCATCTTACGTTGTGCTAACTCCAAAAATGAACCTGTTGTAAATGTACATCCAATGCATGTATATGGAAAGTTTTATTAAAATTTGTCCTGTGGTTTGGGAGATGTTTTGCTAACAGACAAAGTAGAACCCAATAGTTAAGGTCCAAGTTAAAAAAAAAACAGATCTTTTGTGACCTGTTAGAGCTTGGAATACGAGTTGGGAATGACTCTCAGCTACTACCACACCAAACTGTAGTTCAATACTTGTAAAACTACCTTCATTATAGCTATTTTTGTTTTTGCTGAATTTGTTTAGCTGAGACAACCATTTTGACTTGGGTTAACTCCAAAAATTAATCAATTGTAGATGTACATCCAATGATTATTTATCATTCAAATCTGTCACACATGGTTAAAAAATAAAAAAATAAATAAATAAATAACACAAATTTAACAAATCGTTTATTTAGGTTGGATCAGAAGAAAAAGATCCCACACATTAACATGGGAATGTTAAAAATAATAACAATAATAATAAAAAAAAAAACAGTCCAAAATTTATAAAATAAAAACAAAATTTCAACTAATTGTTTTATCTGATTAAGAACTTCATTCATCTAGTTTGAAACATTTATTTCCAGGGAACGTTTCGCACGGTTGGGCCTGAACCTGCAGATGAAAAACAAAATAAAACAAAACATGACAAACAGTCCAACGAGCGAAGACAGATTTGTTTTTTACAGTCGTGTTTTATGGAAATAACGTGGAAAACGCAGGACATAAACAAATGTAAGGAAATGACCGACCGGACGTCTGTTTTCAGTACCTGTCTATTTGTAGGTGTGGCTCTCGGTTCCACCGCGTCCAAATCCTGAAAGACAAGAAGAAGAAAAGAACGTGAGAGATGTTTACTGAACATTTACGGCCGACAAAACTTCATCCTCAACCAGAGCTGTTCTGACTGAGGCAGAGATTTATGACCCAGCAGGACAGAGCCAACGACCGTCTGTCATTTATAGTGTAATCCTTTGGTCGCCAGAAGCTGGAGCCTGTGTGTGTCTGTCTGTTAGCAGAATATCTCATGAACCAGTCAATGGATTAGAAATAAACTCTTGGATGTAAAACTACAACTGAATGTTTGGAGGCAACCCAAATCAGGCTGGCTGTCACAGCGAACAGACCTTAAACACACAAAGGGCTATAAGTTTGTAAAGGTTCCAGATTGGACTAAAATTTGGTGTGGCAGTAGCTGACAGTCATTACCAACACAAATCATAATATTTCAACAGTGCACAACATGTTGACGCTCCCTCACTGACAGAGACGCTCCCTTACCGCACTCACATGTGCTTTCAAAGGACATTTATCAGTGCTGTGTTAGAAAAACTCAGCTGCTCTGATTGCAGTTGCTGATGTCTGCAGCAGGAGTTGCTGAACGCCTCTTATTATGTTGCAAAGAACAAAATACGTCCAAAAAGGTCTTTTAATAATCTGACTCTTATTACGGTTGTATCCACACTGCTGCATACTTTTAACCTGTCTCTGGGCCGATGAAGTTTATATTTATTTCCTCCTCTGCACGTCTATAGGGCTTGCGGGGTTAAACAAAAACAAACAAACAAACAAACAAACAAACAAACAAACAAACAGTGTTGTATAAAGTACCACAAAGTCATACTTGAGTAAAAGCACAAGTATCTTATCATAAAAAAAAACTTTGGTAAAAGTTAAAATCTTCTCTAAAAATATCACTTGAGTAAAAGTCTTAAAGTATCTGATATTTTTTGTACTTATATCAAAAGTAAATTTCTAACACAAAATCTACTTAAGTATTAAAATTAAAAGTACTGAATAAATGTGAGCAGTTAGATTTACCAAAATGATTGATGATGAAATGAAATTGGAGAAATCTTGTATATACACTCATGTTCACAACCGCTCACAAACAGGTGTTCTGATCCGGTGGGTTCTGACTGGTCACTGAGTGTGTATATATGTCTGTGTGTATATACTGATTGACTCTTTTAAATGAAACCAGAGAGCGTTGACAGAGAGGAGAAGGTAGAAATGACTCAGCCTGTAACTGAAAATATGAATGGAGGACAACAGAGCTGCTTCATGGAAGAAGAACCTCAGCTTAGCCTGTTAGCTTTGCGCTAGCGTCCACACTATATTGCCTTATATGTATTAGCTCAGTGCTAACGCGACAAACAAGCTAAACTGAGGTCCTCCATCCTGAGTCATTTTTGTGTTCCCCTCTCTGTCATGTGGATGGAGGACCTCAGTAATGAGAGGAGAATGTGTAGCGCTGAGCTAATACATATATATGGTGATAGCGTCTGGGCTAAGGCTGAAGCTAACAGGCTAAGCTGAGGTTCTTCTTCCATGAAGCAGCTCTGTTGTCCTCCATCCATATTTTCAGTTCCAGGCTGAGTCATTTCTACCTTCTCCTCTCTGTCAACGCTCTCTGGTTTCATTTAAAAGAGTCGATCATCAGATATTGTCCAAGATTAGCCTTCAGGGTGGATATAACTCGCTAGCAGCCTCGCACCGATGACCTAGTTGATGTCATCATTTACCCAGAATGCTTTGCATGTAAATAAAATGGCCCCGTTCATGTAATATATTTTTAAACTTTTAGTTTATAAATTATAAAAACTGAACATCCTACAGTATTTTTACAGTCGTTATTTTACAAAGTATATATTTATCATATAAAGTCTAATGTTACAACTAATCGGGGATCCCTTTAAAAAGGTTTAGATGTATGCTGAGTGTTTGACATGGATTATGCTCACCTTTAGGTCCAAACATTGCAGCATAGCAGGGGTTGTGACAGTATGGCTTCCCTTCGTGCTGCAGGAGGAAAGTTACATCACAGAAAGTCATTTCTGAGGGGTTTGAACTGATCATTTAAAATATGATGCTCTGTTTAATAGCTATGAGCAGTTAGGATCTTGTCAGCCAACAGAGAACGTGAATGATAAAAGTACTGAGAATGTTTTGACAGAACATCGCTTCAATAAGGAGCAGACCGTCCCTGTAATATTTAACGTTCGTGTCACATAGTTCAGATAATTTACCTCAGCGTGGGAGCCGGCCGACAGAGTCTTGTTGCACTTCTCACACTTCAGACATGGCCTGTGCCAGTCCTTCCCCAGTGACGTCACCTTCTCAGCTGCCGAACACACAGAAAGGCACGTTTATTAACATCAGTCCGCCACACATTCTCACGCCGTTGTTTGGACAGGAGACGGAGGCCGGGGAGTCGCACTGCAGGGCGCATGAGCTCAACCAGTCGTGACTCGGAGTCCAGCCTCAGTTTTAAAACCACAAAGATCACGACAGATTAGCTGGAGGACATCGCAGGGTGTGGTGTTTGAAGGAGGACGAGAAAGACAGAGTGTCCCTCTGGAATCTGTCCTCCTCCTCCTCCTGCTCCACAAACTCCCATAAATACTGTCTTTATCTGCTAGGGCTGATCTGCACAAAACGCCCATCAGGGGGATGGCAAAACAAGGGAAGGAATCTGAAAAGTTTTATTTTTTTATTTTTTTATATTTTTGTTGTGCAATGGGAGCTGATGGCTGAAAAGGAAGAAGCAGACTGTGACGAAGGATTTGCATAAACTGACTATTATTTTCTCATTTTCAGGAAGGAGGACATTTGGGGATAAACAAGACACGCCTTGAGAGCTTTTTGTGAAATTGTTGCACAGGACATGATTAACATCTGCAATGTTTTTAATATATTAAAGACAGGCATGAAACAATGAAATGCCTTTATTTATGCTGCAATTCATGCAGGATGAGACAATAACAGAGTAAATAACATTATGCACAACCTTATGTGATATCCCAAGACGTCACACATTGACTCTCAGCCACAATCGCACCAAGCTTTAGCTCAGTATTTGTAAAACGGACTAAGCTGTAGCCATTTTTGTGACTTTTGTTCCTAAATATTTTGGTAACAGACCACACAGATCCAATCAAAAAGGTTAACTATGTAATCAGACCGAGCCCAGCAGTAAAACTCTGTCCTTATCAGCAGAGATCACGCCCACGTTATGGCATCTGATGATGCTCTCTTTGCTGCTTCCACCTGACAGGAAACCTGATTTCTGTGCGAACTTGTTATGGAAACCATCCAGTAAACACAAAGACGTCGTAGACCAGGCAGCAACATAAACACTTCTGCTTGGACCTCATGACAGAGCCAGTTTGTGGCTTCCAGAACAGTCCGTCCATTGATGCCAGAACAAAAACCCAAAATATTTCCACGGTCCTGCCGCACAAACTGTCTGCACTCTTTCCATCAGCAGGGAGAGGCTGTTGGACATCCATGGTTCAGACGGGCAGCAGCAGCCTCATTGTTTCATTCTGAAGGTTTAACAACATTCGGTTTGACGAAGAGCAAATCGAATTAAAAATATATTTATATATTTTAAATTCGACTGCAGTTCTTTCTAAAAGCACACAACATTCTGTAAATGTTTCAGCCTGGTTTTAAAGCTCTTCACAGTGCTGAAACTGCACATTAAAACGTTTTTAACGATCTTTTATTAGCTCCAGATTCAGGAGACTCAGCTGTTCTTTGGCTTTTAGACCCAACAGCTGCCTTTGACACAGCTGACAGCAGGGTTCTGATCTCCTGGCTGGAACAAAGTGGTATCAAAGGCTCTGCACTGGGCTGGTTCAGGTCCAGGACAGGAGTTCCTCTGTAAGCCTCTATGTGTGGAGTTCCACAAGGATCCATTCTTGGACACATTTTATTTGACAACTATTATGGTTGCCATATGTTCCGTTTTTTTAGAAAATTCAACATCTCTTGTCATTCTTATGCCGACAACTATCAGGTGTGCTCGCGTTTTCAGGTTTTTTTGTATTGTGTGCCAATTGCTTTTAAATGGGCAGTACAAACAAATTTGAGTTGAAAAGCAAAAACAACATTACTCTGTCTTTTGGTGACAATTACTAGCTCATTTAGGCAGGAAATAGTTGGTCTGTTTGTTTTTCTCTCCTGCAGCAGCACAATATGATCCATGTAAAAGGAGAAGGTCCAAACACTCAGCTTTGGGTTTGGCTGCTAATCGCCTCTGTGGAAAAATACGTACTGAGCTGCAGATGATGTGATAAATGGGAGAATAAAAACAGAGTTATGTGTGCGTTGCTGCTTGGATGAGTTTGTCTTTTGATCCACTCACAGCAGGAGCAGAGGGAGGGAGGATAGAGGTGGATTTTGGCAGAAGAACCCTGTTTTGTTTATGCTGTCCGGTTATCCCTCACAAAGCTTCGATCTTAAATTACAATCTAACCTGATAACAACAAAGCTCACAGGACGCAGGCTGCAGAACATTAATCTGCAGGAATATAAAATGTATAGACACATGTAAGCCTTACAAATGGATTTTATTTTCTTTATTTCTCTCTTTATAAAGTTTAAAATGTTGCAGTCAAACTTACTGTTTAACCTCAGATAAAAAAAATAAAATGAGCTCGGCCAACCTCATCACTGCTCACATGCAAATGATGTAACCAAAACCTACTTTGTTAAAGAAACTCAAGTATTTTAATCCTGTCAGTTTCATTTTGTGCAACATTTGGTTGTTTTTCTCAGTTTGAAGCAAATATATTTGGACTTTTGTAACTTTCACAATAGATCTCCTTTTCTGTGCAATGTCTTAACATTTCTCATTATTTCACAAATCAACAGTTATTTATCATAAGACACATAAATGAAATTAACCTCAGCTCCACAAAGTTTATGCATTAAAAACAAGTTTGTGCCAGCTGAAACCAACATACAACACTTATCTAAACTAAATTACTTTAAAAAAGCTTTGAGTGTAATTTTGAGCAGGGCATTTTTTCTTTTTAATTATTATTGTTGTTATTGGTCTTTTTAAACTTTCATGTAACTGTCATGTTTCAGCCATGTGTTGCTGACATTTAACTTCCTGTTTCCTCATTTGAGTAAAAAAGCCGCTAAATTGTCACTAAAGCAGGAAATAAAGTAACGCATTCCTGTCCGTCAAAACAAGCTAAAAGTAATCATTCTTACCGAAGTAAACCTCCTTCTGGCACTTTGGACACTTGGGCATGTTGTCGCAGCTGCCTGTGCAGATGTGGAGAAGACAAAGTAGATCCTGCGGATGGATACTGACGGGGCTCACCTGTTAGCTGTGCCGGACCACGCCTCACTGCAGCGCAGATGTGCCTCCTTCAGTATTTATAGCTGAAACTTTTCTTTTTTTTTTGTCTTGGTGGGAGAGGCTTCAGGCTTCAGCTGAAGCAGAGGGGACGTGCAGAAACGTGACAGAGCTGACATTACAGGAAGTTTATCACTTTGAAATGTTCAATTTATTTGTTCCCCATTGAAATAATTATTTTATCAGTTAATCAGTAAAACAGCATTAAAACTGATAGAGCCCTAAAACAGAAAGAAACTTTGAGCAGAGCTTTAAACTGAGATCAGCTTTGAAAAATAAGTGCAATTATAGTTGTTTTTGACAAAACTTGTAATTAAATTATGCAGAATCTTAAAATGAATATTGAGAAATCTGTCAGCGCTCAAAGGTTGTGTTGAGAATCTCAGTACAAAAAAAGATAAAAGAAAAATAAAAAGCATTAGCTCACTTTTGATAAATATGGCTGAGCTATTGCATTTTTTTGTGTTTGCTATTATTGATTTGTTAACATCTAACCAAACAAATCACATTGAGATATTTTGCAAGGGAGACCTGGGTCTGAAGACAACCCAACACGAATGTTTTTGAACTGTGGGAAAACCGGAGTGCATGGAAAAACCCACACAAGCTCCACACAGGAAGACCCCCGGTGCAACCTGGGATTGAACACAAGACCTTTTTGCTGTGAGACAACGGTGCTAACCTAATCTGCTGTGCTGCGATGGAAGGCCATCTGAATTAATTTTTTAAGAGAAAAACTATGTTAAATCCAACTTTTAATATCATTTTTTAAGCAAACGTAATGGGTGGTGATTTAGGATCTGTGTGGGGTTTTTATTTTATTTGTTTACATTTGTTAATTATAGTTTTATTCATTTGATTTGTTTCTTGTTTTCTATTTTTGTCTTTTCCCCAGTTTCCTCTGTGCTATCTGTCACTTTCTGCTCCATCAGCATCTGCACTGCCCACCTGTTCACAATTGTCATCATGCCAGGTGTTTCCACTCCACTCGTCTCCTGTCACTCAGGTTTCAAGCCTCTCTCAGTCTGACATTGTGGGTTAAGGGTCCACATTTCTGGATATAACCTCTGAAACCGAGATGACGTGTAGTTCTCACAGCTCAGCTATTAACAGACAAAACAAAGAGCTCATTACCAGTTGACAGAGTGATAGTCATTTTGTGTCTTTTAGAGTCAGGTAAAGCGCTTTTATTGAGTTGACAGTGCACCAAATAAATAATTAGTGAGTTTTATTCAAATATGTCCAGTAGTTCATGAAATTTTTTTGTTAACAGTACAGACAAAAACATGCACAATAAATCAAAGGTCCACCCTTTTGATTTCTCATAGCTTACTTTATGTGTGACACCGCTAATCTATTCTTCAATGAACAACAGGCTAACCCACGCACTAAATACTCAACCCATAATAAATCATCACAGTTGGCAATAATTGAACCCAAACATTTGTTCTGAAGGTTTGTCGTGTGATTGTGCTCTTAAGAACTCTTAAGAACTGCATTAACTGTTTGTTGAATGGGTCTGATCTTTATCTGTGTTAGACAAGCAGAACGTGCTGTTGGCAAAACACAAACCCAGTCTTTTATGTGTTTTTGAACACACCCAGTAAACCTTCATTACACTGGAGAAAAGAAAGTGAATACCAGGATTTACCAAATGCAATAAAAGAAAGGATAAAGTGTGTTTGGTAGATGCAAATCTGAAAAGACCGTTTTGGTAGAAACTTGCTTCAGCTTGGTCACAATGACTTTACTGTGAATCCCTGCAGAGAGATCATCTTGGGGTTGACTTTGAACCATTCTCAATATTAACTTCCTGCTGCCAGATACAAATGGACAAGATTTTCATTTGTGTGTGCGCAAATTTCTGTCAGCTACCAAAATTTGTCATGAACCATCTCCCATCTTCTACCATTTATCTGTAGTCACACAACAGATTCAGGGAAAACAAAAACAGACATCCCTCTCCCCAGTGACACTTTCCAGTTTCTCTTGGGGGATCCCAAAGTGTCCCAAAGCCAGAGAGGATACATAATACCTTCAGAGAGTTCTGGGTCTTCCCCAGGGTCTCCTACCAAAAAGGAGGTGTCCAGAAAGCCTTTTAATCAGATGTCCAAACCATCTCAACTGACTCCTTTGCAAAGGAGCAGTGGGTCTACTCCCTGCTCCCCACGGATGATGGAACTTCTTACCCTATTTCTAAGGCTGAGCCCGGCCACCCTACGAAGGAAGCTCATTCCGGCTGTTTGTATCCGGGGGTCATGAACCACTGAATGGATTTGAAAGTAGCATGGGAGTCATCTTCAGGACCATGGGCGTAATTTGCAGGGGTGTTAGGGGGTTATAACCCAGTTATAACCCCCACAATAATTTGATCCAGTCAATATAACCCGATAAAATTACACCATTTGCTCAAACACAATAGAAATGAACTGGTTAAATCCATCTATCCATCCATTTTCTGTACACGCTTCTTCCTTTTCAGGGTTGCGTGGATGAACTGGTTAAATATTTTATTCATTTATTTGTTTATTTATTTTAAAAATTCACATAAAACAAAACAGACAGATGCAACTCTCTTGTTTTTAGGTTTTAGAGCATACCCCCCCCAATTTACGCCCTTGTTCAAGACATCAACTTTCAGATGATTCTTCACCTGTCCATCCATCCATCCATCCATCCATCCATCCATCCATCCATCCATCCATCCATCCATCCATCCATCCATCCATCCATCCATCCATCCNTCACCTGTCCATCCATCCATCCATCCATCCATCCATCCATCCATCCATCCATCCATCCATCCATCCATCCATCCATCCATCCATCCATCCATCCATCTTCTTCCTATCCGTGGTCAGGTCGTGGAGGTAGCAGCCTAAGTAGGGAGGCCCAGACTTCCCTCTCTCCAGCCACTTCCAGGCCGGCTGAGAAACATAGTCCCTCCAGCGTGTCCTGGGCCTTGGGCGTCCTCCTGGTGGGACATACCCGGAACATCTCACCGGGGAAGCGTTATGACCTGTACCTGTAAAATTTACTTGATCATTGCTCATGTTATGTTCTTAACTACTGTATTTCCCTGATGATTAGCTGTCTGGGCCCAGATGCAGCAAAGCAACTCCAGATAATAACACTGCTACCACTGTGCTTCAGTATTTGGTATTTGTTCCCCTGAATTACTATAAGATGCTATAGTTTGGGTAAAAGTTTAATGAACTGAGTCAACACAACAGATGAATAAATTATTTGGACTGTTGCTTACAAGCAAGGGATTTATTTAATTCATAAATGGTGCAGTTAAATGTTCTTCATTTATTCAGGCTTGGTGATCACTGTGAGAAAATACTTGTTTTTCTTTCCGTCAGTTTTTGTGCTTGCCGTGTTTGTGCTGGACTGTCATACTGTATACTTTAAATAGTTCAGTGGTAGACAGATTTATGGCTTCAAGTCAGCTCAATCATTGACTTTAATTTTATATGAACATTAGTGCAACACAGAAAAACAGTTCATATGTATAACTTAAACCCAACAATCTAGAGGTTGCATGGCTGCTGGACTGTATTTTCAGTATTTATCTGTAGTAAAGCAGTGTTGCAGGTTGGTGTAAGATTGCACAATGATGTCATATCATTGACTTGCTCGCGGTTTTGACTCTGAATGTTTGAGTGTAATCATTACAGCACAAACTGATCACACCCAATTCCAGGGAAACTTTGGACCTGATCAGCAGGGTTGAAAAGTGTTTACTGAGTGCATTTGAATGTGTGGGAACCTGGTTTTTGTTCTCTTCTGAGGACGTTTTTTGGTATAATCATCTATATCTTGTTATGATGGGTAGACAGTCTGTCCATTCATCCATTTTATTTACCTGCTTTTCTGTGCAGGGTCACAGGAGTGCTGGTGCCTATGGGGACCAGATCCTGGTCCTAATATGGTGGATTTTTAGGTTACGTTTAGGATTAAGGTGCGAATTGAGTTTAGGTTAGATTTAGAGTAAGAGTTCAGGGTTAGGCTGTAGAAATTAATGGAAGTTAATGCAATGTCCCCAGAAAGATAGCTGTACAAGGTTGTATGTGTTTGTGTGTGTGTGTATGTTGTTGTTATGGTTACTTGGTTAATGTCCTTTGTTACGGTCCCGGGGTCTAGGATACCCAGGACGCATAACATATAAAGTCCGGAAACAAAGGTGTTTGTAAAAATAACACAAGTTTTATTGTTTGGACAAAACAAAGGAAGCCCCACTTCAAAACAAAACAAAAAAAGGGGGCAAACCCGAACCAGCCAGCAGTTGACCGTCGGATCCGGCAACCTCCCCTTGCCCTCCGGTACAGGGTCTCACCCTACAACCAAAAACTGGGAAAAGAAGTGGCTGGCAACTCCCAGGCCAAAACCAGGTGTCTACAAAGAGGAAAAAGTGGCGCGGCGGCGAGGCTGGAGCGCAAGCAAACTTCTCCCCTCAGGCCACACGCTCAGCTGTCAGGTGGAGCTCATTTCCTTTTATTATCCTCCCAGCCAATCAGCTGAAAGGAGAGGATATCAGACGATTAGACAGGTAAAAATGACACAGGGACACGTCACATCCTTGCAGTCTGCCAGATGTAGCAAAAATATTCACATACATTACTTAAGTAGAAGTACAGACACCAAGGTTTAAAAAAACATTTCTGGGAGTAGAAGCATCAACTCAAGCTTTTTGCTCAAGTAAAAGGCTAATAATACTGTTTTAAAAGCTACTTAAAGTAAAAAAGTAAAGGTAATGTAAGAGGGAAAAGCCATTAAAGATAAAAGCTTAGGCCACAGGGGTCTGTAGTGCACCGCCCCACCTCCCCCAAAAAACTGAGACGTTTATTTTCTAAAGATGACATCTCAGTCGCTTTCAAACCCCAAAACACATTACGATAAAAAAAAAAAAAGATTCACCCCAAAAATCCGGTCCCCTGGCACAGAGTAATATTGTGTATGCTGTCAAGTGTCAGAAGGACTGTGACCAGTTAAACATTGGG